TAAGACACCCTGCCACCAAGTGATTTCTTCATTCTTAGGGTCCCAAACCAATTTGTCATTTTCTTGCCACCTTTCAGAGTTCTCTTTGATTGCCTCTTGCAGTATTCCCATGGCTTATAGTTGTACTTAACAGGCAGGAGCAGGGGAAACAAGGTTATACCATCTTGTCTGGGCCAGAAGTCATCTTTTCAATCATTTTAAAAGGTAGAGCACCAAAAAGCCCACTGGAAACTCAGCATGAGTGAAGGGACTTGGTAATTGGAGGGCTTCACTGTGGGATGATCTGGCCAGGCTCTTTGAGGTCCTCGGTTACTGATGTCTTTTTTCCTCTTGAGCTGTCAGATCCCTCAATTTCGATTCCCTATTTGGAGGGCATAGTTGGCCTGCCAGGTTTCTGGAAGCTGAGTGGGAGCACGGGCTTTCCATTTAGGATATGGAGTTGCTCTTAATCACTCAGCGTTCACATTGCACCACTGCCTTCTACTCTGCCGGTGTCCTTTGGTCAAGAGCTCTCTTGTGTATCTTCTTCAGAAACTAAACCATTGGTTTCTACCCAGGTGGTGTTGGTATTCTTTGGGAGTAACTGTTTCTTAAAGAATCTCATAACTAATCCTCTTGTTTTTAGCCTTCTCCTGTATCTTCCAAGCTATCTGGTGCTGCCAATTCTGGATCTTTTCCGTGGGTTCTGAGGTATAGAAAGGTTGCAGTTGGGTTTCCCACTGCTGACTTGGGGTCAAGCCTGCTAAGTCACTCACCTACATCACCTGCTTTCCAGAATCCACGGCGTTGCTGCTATGTCCCTACAGAGTGTGTCCCCGGGAGTTTATGCTATATTTTTTCTTTTAACCCTCTATTTTAATTGTAGTGAGGTTCAGAAGGAAGCAAAAATAGATATGTGTATTTAATTTGTCATCACTAACTGGAAGGCTATCTCACTTCTCTTGCTACAAAATGAAATCTTGGATCAGAAGCAGTGTTGAGTTTGGTTCCATAAACATGAGTAAGGCATTACATCCATGGATGGAGAGATTAGCAGAAATGCGGCAGGCAGGGAAGGCGAATCCAGATTCAGAATGCGTATCAGTAGGACTTCAGTAGGATGACCACCTATTTCAGTTCCCAGGAAACCCATGATCCATGAGCCACCCCAAGGATCCCCATAGGTCAGTCCACTCGATTACCACCCTCTCCAGCCCTAACTTTGTCTTTGGCATTTATGAGCCATTGCTTGGCCACTGCCACCCTCAAGGTCCCCTTATCCTCCCTGAAATCAGGGGGCCACTTCAAAGGCAAAGGCTCACACCCACATCCTTAGCCACTGTAGCACATGTCAAAGTTGCCAGCATTCCTCACCAATATGTCGTCAATGATGGGTGACAGTGTCCTCTAAGCCCTCAGCAAACACAGATAGCAATGAAGTTACAGGAAATATACCCACTCCAACATTCTGGCTCCCTGTCTTTGGATCTCTTTCTCTACGTCACATAAAAGCATTTCCAGAGTCTCAACTTCTTGCATCACAGGTCACCTTTAACCCAGAAGTCAGTCTGGGTTACAGTGACAGAAAGCAGATTAGTGACTTGGCTTGGGGGTGTGTAGGGAGAGATGAGGAGCCTGGCATGGTGGCACTCACCTCTAGTTCCAGCTACTCCAAAGGCTGAGGTGGGAGGATGGCTCCAGCCCAGGGGTTCTGGGCTGTATCGCACTACACGGATCAGGTGCACTAAGTTCAGCATCGATGTGGTGACCTCCCAGGAGTAGGGGACCACTGGGTGGCCTAAGGAGGGGTGAATCAGCCTGTGTCAGAAACAGAGCAGATCAAAACTCCCATGCTGATCAGCAGTGGTATTGCACCTGTGAATAGCCGTTGCACTCCAGCCTGGGCAACATAGCGAGACCTCGTCTCTTTAAAAAAAAAAAAGGAGGGCCGGGCGCGGTGGCTCACGCCTGTAATCCTAGCTCTCTGGGAGGCCGAGGTGGGCAGATTGTTTGAGCTCAGGAGTTCGAAACCAGCCTGAGCAAGAG